TGAATCGTCGAAAGGCTAAAAAAATTCCGATTATTCCTAGTAGGCCAGACACAATGGCTTTGCAGTGTGCTTCCACAGCTTTTCATCGTGATTCTCTTGATGAGTGACGTTCCTGCCTCTACCCCATTTCGCGATCAGACGTCCATTACGATGCCCAATTTAAGAATCGGCTAACGAGCCTGGTAAGCATATGTTTGCGTAATTATTTTGGTCGCAACATAAACTGGATTTAATAGAATAATATCAACCAGGTACTTATCCAGTCTCTGTTTGGTACGACTTCAAACCATTTGGGTTTTATGCTTGCTTGCTTTACCCAATCGAAAATGGAGGTAGGTAAGGTCACAAAACGTATATCTGAGATGCAGGTTACAGACAAACGAGAACCAGCCGAGATTTGGTGAACATCTTGGTAGTGAGATAGGAGAATTGGTATCAATTTTTTTCTCAGGAGGTGCGGATTTCGATGGATGCAGCCATACAAAGCTCCAAGAAGCGACTTCAACTCTCCGCCAAATTTTACACAAAAGGTTTTATTATTTGAATTGACTTCTTAAGCAAGCAATTTTTTACATTCAAGGTCGGGTTTTGTGATGTATACCAATATTATACCTGTTCTACTCTTGAAGAACAGACTTTTAACATAGTGCTATTACCACCACAACCAGCACCGAAAACAAAACCAGTGTATCAGTTAGACATCTTGATGACAGAACAGCACACATTCAGGCGAATAAACGAAATGTTTGAACAAACCTGTTCTCCTCACTGTCCGGTTCGACGACCTCCATCCATAAGTCTGGATCAATGCTGTCCAGGAAGCGATTAAACTGATCCTTTGACTTTTGTATCACTTCTTCGTCGCCCTGCATCGGAATCGCGATTGTTCGTGGGAACGATTTATCGTCCATATAAACTGATCGATAGCTGACTTCTAAATTATAGTCCAAAATGTCTCCAATGTGAAAATCTTCATCATCATCTCCGAACGGATTAATAACGCATAAGGCCACCTGCATTGAACGGCCGGGATCGGGAATAAGGGGGAGAGCAAATGAGAAACAAACAGAAGGGCAAGGAATGAGAAATGTGGACGAACTGGGAAACCACAATCTGCCTGCCCATGACATCTTGCGGAGACCAAAAATGTGAATGCATTTCCCAATCTGTGGCTTGTTGGGTATTCAAACACTCAATCATCCCACGCACTCAGGTGTGAAGAAAAATAAAAATTGAGAAAAAATAAGGTGCAATAGGAGAAATACACTTTTGCTTACGTGAAAAGCAATAATTTTATTGAAATCTCCCTCAAAAGGAATGTATAAAGTTACTAAGCATTAATAGCTCATTCACCCATTTAAGTTATGAGTCCGATTCAGGGAGCTGTAGGTTTTCTGTTTGGTATCACTCATAACCAATTCTTTTGTTAAATAATTTTCACTCGTGATGCGTATGTGTCCACCGTGGTCAAAACTGCTACTGCGATATTCCTGACGAACTTGCTGTGGGAACTTCGTTCCAGTTTACTCCAAGTGTTTTCTCCTATGCTGCATTGACCATGTATAATCCCACACGGTTTACATAGCGGCGGATACAGGTAAACGAAATGCACACAGCTCATCGTTCTGTCTCCATGAACTGAATAATAGGGGACAGAAATATTATATGTTTTCTTACACTTGAAACTGGTAAAGTATGGTTTCAAACAGGAAATCGTTTACCGCTATCATAAAGTGACATCCCACTTGCGGTATAGTCGTTCACAACAGTTTATCTCAGACGTCAGGATATTTAACTTCATCTCTACCGTCACCGCATCCCGAAATGGAGATTACTGAATCGCCGAAATTCGAAGCGATAAGTATTCATTCCCTCTCGATTGCTAAAAGAAAGCAATATTTTCTTCACTTATAACTTGAGCTGGATGTTTCTCAAATTATACGGGAAACCCCTGTCGCAAAACGTTTGATCAACTGGCTGAATTTTTACTTCAATTGAACTCAGGCCGTTCCATTTATGTCAAAGTCGACGTTTTAGTATGGAAATTATTTACAAGCTCATGCTTTTATTGTCCCCATAGAATAATTACACAGTTGAATCGTTTCTCAGCAAAACAATGATAAAATGTTACATATAGTTCCGAGTAGGAGATAAAAGATAATGTTGCCTCAAATAATTTGCGTTTTTTAGCTGTGTAGGAATGTGAAATGTGTTCGGGTTTCATCAAGTCTCCACTTGAAAGATTCAATAATTGGTGCGTGAACAACGTCCGATGGAAGGGTGTTTCAAGCACTGCACACTCTAATTGCAAAAATTGACGCCGGCATTTCAGAAATTTTGTCATTCTGTTCTTTTTGTGGTCTTGAACTGGTTCAAAAAATTCACTCAGATTTCATTGCTTGTTCGCTACTGGTGTGTTACTCTTTTCTGATGGAGGTTGACCTTGAACGTGAACACGAATTAGTGTTAAAATGGTTACCGGTGAACTACTGTTAAGGTGTTGATCTGCAACCTAACGAATAGTTTAACCGATGGAAACGTGTCATGGAGAATGTGTTTCAGATCTTGAAAATAGGATAGGAACAAACTAGCCTGTTAGCAGTATTAACCAATGGCACATCATTATCACGATATTGTTACAAATATGAATGATAGTAACTTTAATTATATTTTAATTTATGAAGCTGTCCACACATTTGTGAAGTCAGAAAGGAAAATCATCAAACACTGAGTTGTCGTAGTATATAAAATAAGTGAAGACGTTAAGCGACGGTGGTGATGGTGGCGGGAGTCGAACTCCGAAGCGACCTGATGGTTATCGACACCGCATAACTGACTTCTTTCAGGGTGAGACCATATTCTCAAATGAGTGGTCATGACACCACAAGTCAACAAGCAAGCTTGTTTTTTGTCGCACATCAACTAGCGAAATACAGCACAATTTATTTCAGATCAAATGGATGGTGAGTGAAGACACTTGATTACAAAAGAAATCGGAGTTCCGAAAGTGACGATATAATTGTGAGAATTTGTATGCTTAGTGTGTAAGTGTGTGTGTTTAGGTATGTTGATATGTGTGAAAGGTGGATGAAGGAGGCTCGTTATGAAAGAGTGAGTAGGTGGAAGAATGAGAGCCTATGAACGGAGGTTATGTAAATAGGTTGTAAGCGGATGTCCATAGTGAAACCAGTGTTTTCAGGATAAATACTACGGTGAAGGTAGTTATTAGTTCTCTGCAGCTATCAGTTTGATGGTATTTTATACAAGGGTAAAAACAATGGGTTTTTAGAGGTCTTTCACTTTGAAGAACAAGTGGTATGGTTGGTAATGACTTAATCTGGATGAGATCGTCGGTTACGCACAGATTCTTATACCATTCGGCGAATGTGGAGCATTCAGTGCGTTTTATATAACTGAATCACATGCGAACCCAAACTGAGAGCACGCGATGAAAACAGGAGGTGAAACGCAGTCCGAATTTTGAAAAGCGAAACCACTTAAGAGCCATTTATGTATGTAATGCTTGAGCCCGTTAGTGTACCTGCGACTGGAAAGTGAATCACACTAGAATTCCACTCCGCTAGAAATTACCACGTAGATCAGCTGCCGAGCTAAATTGATATATGGTATTCTTGAAACTGAAAATCTGTTTCTACAAAATCCTGTGCATAGTTATGAGTACCTAAACATGGGAATACTCATGAAAACTTCGTGTCAGTCTATATTCTGATTGTAAGAGCAGAAAACTGCAGGGGTCCGACTTGATAGTTTAGTCAATCAGACGCGTAGGCGCGTGCACACACACACACACACACGCTGACGACGCTGACCCCTTTTGAAGAAGACAAGTACCACATGAAATTAGTCACATCAGAGCAAAGCGTTGTTCACATACTGATTCATCGTACGAAAGGCTTGACAAGTTGGAGACCTTAGTATCTCACGCTATTTACTGGGTTGCACAAGAGTTACAGAGCAGTATGCTGGATCGAATGGAGATTAAAGTTAATAGCGGATATGCAGTGAAATATTGTTTGTCCCTGAATGTGAGCAAAAAACGATTGACGATTGTTGAACGATTGAGACCCTGTGTGGTCCTCAGATCCCAAACATTTGGTTTGTTATGCTACATTTTAGATAGGTATCTAGGACATCTTCGTTTCTTCGCCATAGCAAAGAACATAATATGATGAACAAGTTAGATTCTCGTGATAAACAATCAGTGTACACGCCCAACAGAGAGAGATAGTCAACCGTCAGAAATGATTAGCATTAGAACCTATCACCTTCTTCAGGTTGGATAAGAAACTTTCCGAAGCTCCTGACAATATTGGTACACCAGTAGCACCTTCACCTCCGTTCACTTCGGTAATTCTACAATTATCTGTATCTCCAAGATAACACCAGACAAGGGGATATCCGTTACAGTTTCTGGACAACGAACGTTAGGGCTGTAGTATCGGCTAATCAAAGGCCAGGCAGTTCAACCAGTACTCTTGTTAACCGAAGACCAAGAGCGGTGATTGCTTTATACGCGTTTGACCAATAGTATTTTGATTCACATAATATTTATTCCCATTGACTTCTTTCAATAAGTGAACCGCTACTTGTGTGGACCTCTTCCCGCGTCTCGGTGATGGGATATTCTGGGAGGCGATTCGGGATTCAAGATTCGCGTTTATTCTGATAAATGCGTTCTCGCATCCATGCAAAGTTTGGGAAACGGATGAACAAAAACGTCTGTGGTTGGCGGTGATCCGGTAACATCATCAACTTATCACTCAAGAGGATATGTGTTCGAATCCCACCACCTCCGCTTGACTTTCCTCATTCTATGTTGTATGGCAGACCTTTGACTGATCCCTTCCCCCTTACTAAAAACTGTATCATCATGCGTCTAACAAAAGAAAGTAAAAGGGAATAAGAACGCACAACTTGAATGAGATATGCTGCCGAAAAATTGGTCCGAGTTGCATGGAATCAAACGTCAAACTGAGCGGAGCAGTTCGGTGCATGCATCAAGCGTCACAAGCCATTGGCCGACTGGAGGACAAACGCACTCACGCGTATGTCGCTGCGGACATGCAATCAACTGACGCTCACATGCATACGTGAGAAGTGACAATTGCGCATAACCCCATTGAGACAGAACAGGAATTCAGAGGTGGTTAGTTGTGTACCTTGAATCTATGGTTTCTGTTTGACTCTAGTTTTGATTCGTTGTTTCTTTTTCAGTTTTACTGCGTTTTGTTCAGTATGAACGATTTTCGAGAAGAGACCACCTTCCAAACGATGCAAGATGAGCAGAGGGTGTGCGAATCGCACAACATACGGCTAGGCGTGACCTACTGAATGGGACCACCGGATATCGACTGGGCAACTACCAAGTGCAGGATATAACTTCATGAGTCCATTGAATATTTGCCTTCCGAAAATTGGAGCAATTCATAATGCGGACTCGATCCGGTCGTTAAGACAAATTTATTCCATCATTTTTATCTGACCCTATTCTATGGGTTTCTCTATTTTATCCCCATATGTTGAGGTTCACACTGAGAAACCGTTGAATCACTTTGGTGTTCATTGTTAAGTGACTGATTACAGTTGCCTTGTGCTTGATCTATTTCTTTGTTTGTTTGTTTAAATTGTTAAAACTTCGGTGTCAAAAAAGCTGTCGCTTCGCATGTACAACAGCCTGTTGGAGCTGAACATGCGTATAATATGTGCAACCCGGATGGGTGAGGCTGGGGAATAAATGCAGAGCGCGGGGGTGAGGGAAACTCACTTTATACCATCCCATGAGGAAGAGATAGGACAAGAAATCGAACACGGGCACGTATAAATCGATTCCGGAATGTTGTACTCCGTTTCGACGTTCAACAAACTGACTGGAGAATAGTTGACATGTGAAGTAACTGTAGACGGCGATGGTAACAACCTTGAAACAAATTAGCAAATTAGCGATACACATGAGAGTTGTGCGAATAAAGCAACACTGCTAAGGATAGTAGATAATCTGCCTTGTTAATATAAAACCATTATTTCAGTGCATAATGATTAATTTAAAAGTGCATTTAAAGTGACGTAACACATTAAACCAAATATTTTTGACATTTTTAAAACAGACACAGAACCTTTCTTGAAGTTGGAAATAAATCCCCTTTTCTCCAATCGCTGTGCATTTCGATTGATAAGCTTGATAGACATCCCAAACGGATCTTTCATGTAAAGTGGTGAGGTTTTACAGATCAGATTCAATTTGATCACATAATGGATTTCTTTCTGCACATGGTAGATAGAGCGTGGTCTGAAAAGCTAGGAAGCACTGGACAGCTGTTTCGACCTGATTACATATGATCAGGCCGTTTTTCATTTTGCCTGTGTATCATATAGCGCAACCCACCTTTGCGAGCTTGTTGTGAGCATCGTACCTCGCTCATTTCTGCACTAGCCTCCGGGGTTTAGGTTCCTCAACGTTCAACTACAGAATGTACTTACGGTCGTGATTGTTCATGTGATGTTTCTTATCCCGAGCACACTACGTATCACAAAATGACCCAAACTCAGAATGAATCGGTTCATATTTTTTTTTCATGGTTTATAACTATAACAAAGGAGATTATGTTTTAGATGTTTGTTCAACCAGGCACATAAGAGCGAAAACGACGATCAAGTAGCGAAAGCAGTGTATGTTGATGCAGTTTTCGAATTGATGCTTGTAGCCACCTGAAGCAACATTTCTGCAAATATCAAACTAGAAAAGGCATGTGCATACGTTTCATTCATTATAATCACCACGGGTGCACTTGAGTAAACACACACACAGACGCGCGCACCCGCACGCACACATGTATATACCTACCTGGGCATAGGCTAATGGAACCATCATACTGCTGAATATTTGCAGATATTGTAATTGGTCACGGAATCTGTTCAATTGCTGCGAAATACGAATAGATAAAAAAATAGCGTCAAAATGGAGAAATGAAATGCACCAAGTTGTTGTCAACAGATTTTATCATGACCAGGTTATCCAGTTGAGAACGCGGACCTGCACATCGGAGCACCCCTTAGAAGAAGTGATCACGGAATGATCCGTTTTGTATATGTCATAGACAGACAGACAAAGATACGCCACACATTAAATGGAGGAGGTCTCACAAGCGTCTCGATGTCTGTGCCTTAGAGTCTAGGGAATCAACTGTGAACTGACAAAGCCAGTCCAGCGACTTAGGTCAAATGTTGGAGCAAATCAGAAGAAATTTGCTAACCCCAACTGATAAAATTAGCACCACTGAAGAGAGAATGCGTCGAAGAGGAAGCCCACCATGGCGGCAAACTGTGGTGTATACGGCTCAACGGAGAAAACGCCTAGTGTGGAAGAAATATGGCATGCGAATTTACAGGAGGATTTTGATTCCGAAAATCATCGTTTGCTACTGTTCAAGCTTAAGACTCTAAACATGCCAAAAGCAGTAGTTCGATGGCTAGATGACTAAGTAAAACATAAAAGAATTTTATCTCAGAATGGAGAGTGTGTTTCGTCTTAGGACTACCTCAATGGTCCATCTCCCCTGGGGCCAAAGTCAAGGTCAAAACTTTAATTATGAAAATAAAAGCGGCGACTTTTCTTGACTCAGGTTTTTCACACAAATGGATTGATTAACGGTCCGTAGAGAGAAAAGCAATATCACAACTTTTCTTCGTTTCTTGCACTGCTAAAGATACCGAAACTTATTGACTGTACAATGTTTCGTCCAGTTTGTGCTTGAAATAATCAATTAAGGGTGCAGAAACAACGTGAGATGGTAGAGAATTCCAAAAGCTGCACACTCTGAGGGCAAGTGAATTACACTGGCACTCTAGTTGACGTTTTTGGAGCAATAATTTTAATTTTAATGAGTACCCCCTGAGGTTAATTTTGGGGGACAAGGCGAACAGTCAGCTACGTGAGTGATCAGGGTTCTGTATTATTTGATATACCAAAATCAAATCCCCTCGAATTCCGCGATACTGCTCGGAATACAGTCCCAACGATTCCAGTTTTTCCGCATAAGTCTTGGAATGCAGTCCCTTGGCGATTTTGGTGACTATTCTTGATGGACATTCCAGAATTGTATGTTCGTGTTGCAGCCGAGGATTCTTCGCTTGAATTACATACTCTGTGTGGGGTCGAATGGGGCTGATAGCAACTGTGTAACCAGCATAGGTTCAAATTTGCCAAATGCTTGCTTTAGCAAACCAACTTGTCTTACAGCGGTGTATGACGTCCTGGAACAGTTTAAAGATCAAACTCTTTGGGGAAGTCAAGATACAATACCTGTGATTACATTCTCTTGTCCACTCTTTTCGGACCAGAAGCAGGTTAGTGATACACGATCGGCGGCGACGAGAGAAGTGTTGTGCCAGGGATAAAACATTGTATTTTTCCAAGTGACTCATCACACTGTTTGCAACATTGGACTCCATGAATTTGGATAATAAGCGAAGGAGAGTGACGGGGAGGTAGTCAGCTGAGTCAGCTGCTTTTGTATATTATTGTAATTATTTCTTCTTTCCGTGTTTGTGGGAACACAGCTTTGCCGAACATAAGTTGAAAACGTTCGACTAAAGGCTGAGCTGTTATTTGTGAGGTTGGTAAGAGTTTGTGGATGGATGTTATCCATCCCCGGAGATGAATTCCTTTCCAAAAATTAGTTTCGATGCTATGGCTTTTGGGGAAAAATCAATTTTGCTTAGCGTTAGATCTAGTATGTTCTCAAGTAACAGAGACAGTCGTAGTCCGGTTTTGACAGGGGCAGTGAATACTTGAGCATATTGAATTTATAACATTTCAACTATCTCCCAAGCTGTGAGCTAAACACGTCCTAACAGACTTCTGGAGGGACTTATGTGTTTCCAAAGCAACGTGAGGTTGGATATAAACTTGTGCATCAGCATTTCTTAGTACATCAACTTGTCTTCTCGTACCAACTTAGTGCAGTTGTTTCAAAGTAGACAGTTAGTATACCATATGTTGTTAAAAGGTAATGATTTATGAGCTCTCCATGATATATTCCTCTACGAAATCCACTCTTTTTTTCGACTTCGAATCACTGAATTTTTTTACCAGTTAGGTAGGTAATGTATTTTATCTTGCTCACCTGCTTCACCATTTCTGTGATGTGGTTTTGTAAATTCTTGCCAGGAAACCAAGGGATCACACTGTTCATTAAGAAAATTCCATTGGAAGTCCCTCTCCAAAATCTTAGGTTTAGTGTAGTCAACAAACTCACAAGAGTAAATGGTAGAAATTTGCTGTAAAGATGCATAGCAAATGTAGTTAAACATTTATCCAGCATGATCACTATGCCCCAATGAGGTTGTAGTGGAAATAGCTTCCACCATCAATTCCTCGTTGGCTGACACCAATTTCAATATCGAATTTGACTGATTGGCTCCTTCAAGAAATTGTGAAGTGGATAGGATTCAATAAACTGAGCGAGTTAATTCTCAAACGAGTGTAGAGAGGTCACCAATGTAACCAGATTGGGGCAATTGATGTTGCCCATAATGAGGAAATGCGTGAACTTCAGTGACAGGATGTAATTTACGGTTTGCAACAGCGTCACGTTGGCTGAGTCTGTGGATGAAGGAGAGCGGTACACCATATCAATATATCGTTTTGCGACGGTCGCATTTTGCACCACAGTGAGTCAGAAGTCGCTGATGGATAATCAATTACCTCGCATTATAGTTTGCTACCAAAATAGATAAGCACACTACCAAAATCGTAGTGCGATCGCGTCTGAGAAGCATCTTGTTAGGTAAGTGTAATTCTGAGACCAGAATTTCGGTTGTTAGCCAAGTTTCGATAACTGCACTGATGTCCCATTGACCAGTTTCGCAATACAGTTTCACCTCTGAAAATTTGCTGAGGAAACCTTGGAAATCGGCGTACAAACAATGCAGTTTATCATGCAGCAGAACCTCGTCGGGGCGTGAAGGATTAGTTGATCCGACTGTATAGTGACCGGCTAAGAGAAGCAGTTAGGAAGAAGAGTTTGTTGGGTCTCGTCTACCAGTTGCGGGAAGGACCACAAAGTTCGTGGGGTGTCCGTAACTATTCATCGTTTTTTATAAACAATTAGATCACCAGGCTGAAGTCTACGTGTTACCTGTTTGCCGACGACACTAAGATAGTTTGCAATTCAACTGAGGAGACTGTGCCAGCAGACCTAAATACCTTCCACTCATGATCCGAAACCTGGGACCTAACGCTCAACAAAGGAAAGTGAAAGCAACTACAGACTGCTGGACCACTCGCACCCAAAACCATAAACCACGTTGATCCTCAGATCATAAATAGACCTGCGGAAAACAAGGACTTGACCGTGAACATACATGAGCCATTCAAATCATCCACACAGTGTGCCACTGCAACGAGCATCAGAGAGCTATCTATCAGTTACGCTGGTTAATTGACTCTAGAGCTTCCCAAGTTGTGATGCCATCATACAAGGCAATAGTAACAACGCACCTTGAATATACCGTGCAAGCCTGACAACCAAGCCGGAAAAGGGACCAGAAACTCTCGGAAAATGTGCAACAAAGGTTCCCAAAGACCACTGCATGCCTGGGGGACGACCAGTACGCACAAAAGCTACGGGACACTAGGACTTCCTCAGTCCTCCCTCAGTCGTAGACACCTCAAGCAGATGAAAGAGTAAACATTAAAAGGCCTTTTTCCACCCCGGAATAAAGCTCTGCAACGAGCGAGCATAACCTTAAACGGAAGAAATCTAGAGCAATTAAAAGTGTTAAGATCATTTTTTTCTCCCGTGGGGAACAAGTTGCGACATTTTTCAACGCCTCCCCCCACTTCTATCAATTTTCCTCGCTATAAAGTAGCAACTTCAAGTTTTCATTCCTACCCCTCTAACATACGGGCATGGATGTTGATTAAATCATTGTCATTATTTTCATAAGTAAATGTATATCCCTAAAGGTAGGAGAAGGTATTAACTAACTCGAGTCATCTTATGTTAAAATTGACTATGGTGTTTTTCTGGGTACTATTTTGTCCCCTTTCTTGTTTTCTATGTATAAACAGAATCTCCCTATTCCAAGTAGGTTTAATGCTTATAAGTATGCTGATGATATTATGATTGGTTGCCCATCCCGTTTCCAAGATAGCACTATTGAACTTCATGATTGATCTGTGTCCCAATCCCTTGTGCTTAACATCAATAAATGCACTGAAGTTCCATTTAGTCTTAAAAAAGATCCCCGTTATCTTTCATTATGATCTTGTCGTTAACAATCAAAGTATCCGCAGATCTATATCTGTTAAATACCTTGGTGTCACCCTAACCCACAATCTGTTCTGGTCTGCTCATGTCATCAATGTTTTCACAAAAGCTCGAAAACTGTCTCTTTATGCTTACAGGCTCAAGCAACTGACCACGTAAGATTATCCCTAAATTTGAGATTACCTGCATCCTTCCACACTGGTTGTACTGCTCCCCCATATTTATCCCTGGCCTGAAAGAAAAAGACTTCACTTTATTTTCTAGATCACTTAAACTTTCGTCCTGCTACAGTGAAGTTGATAAAGTTATTTTAATCGATTATGACCCTTATAATACCTATAATAACGGGATAACACGTGAGCAAGGGTACTGTCTGCACCGAAAAATCATGAAAACCTTGTCGAATTCCCGAACTCGCTCCAAATATCAACTCCTTCCGGCGCGAACTTCCACATTTAAAAACCATGTAATTTCATACCTTGCGCGGTTATTGGTTAATCGTGAAACGATTCGCACCCACCCCAGGGAAAATATCTGTCTTTTATCATTTCTCTCATTTACTGCAGTAAAAAATTGCTATATTGTCTTTTTGTTGATCGTAGTTGGTTTTATATATCCACTTTGAAAGTTTGTAAATTGCTGAAAATTCAGCCTTTGGGTGCATAAGGCTTTTCTTGACTCGACGGAGTATCAAAGATCCTGTGTTCTCCTAGTCTAACTCTCACTCAAATAATCCATATCGCCAACCATACATCTATGCATGAACACCGTAAATACAGACTGTTGTGCGGCTATGCTGTTGTGAGCATGGATGAGAGTATCTCTGAAAGCCGATGTGTTCATGTTACCTAGCTTGGATGTTCAGTGTACCACGTCGTAAAGTGCTATCCTCATAAGTGGCTCAAGCTCTACAGAAGCAGAAGAGGACAGATGACGGTATAGAATACCCTCTATGATACTTTGGTTGCTAGACCAAANCCAAAAGGTGACAGAGCGGCTGATGTGCCCATGCCTCATGCTGAACCCGATTGCAAACGCAATGAGCGATCGGTCATATCTACAAGACCAAACATCTCTGTTGTGACCTAACTCACCCGGCATCGCGGGACGAAGGTGGTAACTGACCTGAAGTGAACGCAAGTTGGGGACAGAAACCCGACTATGGTCATCGAGGGTATTGCCGGTGTGTCATATCTCTTAGGTACCTAAATAAAAAATACGTTAAAATGGAATAAAAAAGGCAGGTACCTGTTTCGACCTGAAACGGATTGCGGTTTGGGCTCGTTCACGTAGAGTAGGAGTCACTGCCCGACCGTCACCATCATTCCATGTTGTTAGCTTGCCCCCTTCCCGGGGG